TTCGAATAATTTTCGTGGAAAAATTCGCGTGACACTTGCGGAGAAATTGCTCGGTCGAAGGATCGAGTTTGGTTTATCGATCTTTCTATCGTTCGAAACGCGTACGCTCGAAAATCAGCCGACCAGCGAAAAAAACGATTTAATTTCCCGCGTTATTTACCTTCGATTATGGCGGCTTGGTTGCCAAGCTGTGCCATCCTTTTTTTTTTTTATTCCATCCTTTTCCTCGCGGCAAAAGATCGCGCGCTCGAAATCGCGGCTATCAGGCGAAAATATCGCGATCGCGATCAATTGGCGTGACGCGCGCGTGTTATCGGGTAGAAGAGAATTTAAAAGACAAGCTCTCGCGCATCCCTGTTACTCATTGTTATCAGATAATTCGGCAGACTCGATGGAGCTGCGGACTGATTTATCTCGCGCGACACTTCCAACACGATGCTTCTCTGACGCATCGATTATAAATGGCTTCGGCGCGGCCAGTTTTTTATTTACTCCGATTAAATCAACATGCTCTCCCTCAATTATTCCAACCTGCGTTCCTTTCTCGACTCGAATATTTCTTTGATTAGAGCATTAAAAATATCGGGATATAGGAAAATAACGTACTCGTGATAATTATAATCCAGATGGAACTATAATTTATTTCCACCGCTCTGTTATGTAACTTATACGTTTCTTACGCTCTATAATTGTCTTCTATCGCTTCGAAATTACTGCAGATCGATAATTTTCAGACCGCTGTTCCTGAAAGCGATTTTTTAATCGAATTTAACAAACGGATCGCTAATTATCGATAATTATCGATAATAGCGAAAACTCGTTTCTTAACCGATACGATGCGAGGAGTATTTAACGATCAAGGAGAAGTTGGAACGTTGGAAGGGAAATTAGAATAGCGGGAAAACCGTTATTCCGTACGAATAATTCATAGGGGACGAAACGGGAATAAACGTGGCCTCTATGGGGCGGGATGTAGGGGGGAGGAGATGGGTGGAGGAAAGGCGAGGAACGACGCCGCCATTGCTATCGGAAATTGAAACGGGTCGAATTTATTCGGTCACCCCACGCCTTTCCTAGATTCCCTCGTTTAACTTTAACTCTCGATCGTCGCCTTGCTGCGACGAAAATATTATCCACGGCTATCCGCGCGTGGACTTTCAAGAGGTTCGTTCGTTCTACGGAAAATTTGGGGAGAATTGGGGCGAAATTCGGAATCGAACCGAACACGCCTCGAATCCTTGGATGGAAACGGATGGCCTCTCAACGCGTTCAAAATATTTTCGAAATATTAAACGACACGATCGGATTATTTCGCGAGTGATATATTATTATTATATCTTATCAACGAGCAGCAAAGCGTTTCATATCTGTTTTGTCCTTGGCCAAGGAAAGGAACGCGAACGAGAAAATGACGAGGCAGACACGTCGACGCTGTATTAGAAGATGCGTTGTACGATCCATAGGATATATCCGCGTGTATCTGAATCGACTGTGCCAGGCAAGAAACCGACCGACGAAAACCGATCGACGTAAACCGCTTCGGTTGATTAGAACGTGTCTTGGTTCGAGAACGTGATCTCGTCGAATATTGCGCGGCATCCTCGATTCTCGATGGATCGCGTTAGGGCGACTCGATCAATTCCCTCCACCACCGGTTCGACTGGAGAGGATCGTCTAATTAGATCAATCCGAATATGTCTGCGGAGACGAGGTGAGCTCGAGACGCGTAAGCGTAATCCATCACCGAACAGTGAGGGGAAGGAAAGGTTTAATTCAATTTCGATCCACGGTTAGGCCGAGCTCGGCCTACAACGAAGCCGATTAATTCGGTTGGAAAGGCGTGACTTGGCCCACGATTCTTCGCGGCTTCTCTCAACTTGGGCGGGAAACACGCGGCGTACGCGAAAAACCAGTTTAATCCGCTTTCGGCTCGCCAATGTCTTTGCATCGCGCCGATACAGAACTGCGTCTAATTTCGTCCACCCATCCTTGCCAGATCCATCCTCGGAAAACCGTTCACTCGTCATTATACGGTTTTAATTAACGAGCTACATCGCCGATGTTTTCCTCATTTTTGGCGATCCTTCCTCGTATCGTCCAACTATGAGCAAGATATTTTTCTATCAGATCGAGGATCAGAAATTTTCTTATTTTGACGGCGTTCGCCTTCACCTTCGCGATTGGAGAAAAGGAAAGCAAACGTCGATCCGATTCGAATACGGCCTTCTCAAGGAGCCGCGTCTAGGGACGTATGCATCTAATTAGATCGATCCTCGAGAATTTATCCTGCGGTATAACCTGAAATGTAACGATCCATCATGGGCGGCCCGCGCCAGCCTCTCGTCGTTTTGCCTGCGAAGACGAAGGGTCTCGGCGGAGGGTGGCGGAGCAGTGATCAAGATTAATCGTATGTAAATTACCAAAGCGCCACGGGGAAGATCCCAGGAGAGATTCGGCACGGCCTCGTATGACGCCATCTCTCGCGAGGATAAACCCATTCCAGATTTTGGTAATTGAAAATAGACCCCGCGCCCCTGACAAATCATCGGCCATTTGCATGAAACGCCGTGATCTCGGGGATGGAGGGGTGGCTGGCTTCGATTCGTCGATGAATCGAACGAATCTCCTCTCTTGCTCGGTTACCAGAGAATTTAGAGGACAATTCTCCTCGAGAATTGGAATTGGATCTGATTTTTTAAATTAGATATAAGCGCCGTTATTGTAACTGAGATCGTAATTTCGTGTATTACCATTATTACCTTGGTGGACGAGAATTTTGAATTAAGGAAATAGCGAACAGATGTCGTTTAAGCTGAGATTTTAATCGTGAACACGAGGTTCATTTATCATGGTGGACAGAACTTGGAGATCGTAAGAATGGCGCGTTTTTAACTTTATTTTCTTCGGCTGGTTCGTTGAATTAAGATTACCGTATCATTCAAGTTTTAAAAACTGAGCTTTAACGGAGTGAGATTTAATCGAGCGTGAAACAATTGTACGTTAACCACGATACGTAATAATAATAATATATCGTATCGAAATGTTTGTAGAAAGTAAATGTACGGCATTATTAATACCGGTGATCTGATAATGCCATCGAACCGTGATAACGAGTTTCGCGGGTCTGAGACAATAAACCGATGATTCGCGTTATCGCGATTGATAAACTTTTGTTGAAATGTGTGCCACGCAAGTGGGTTAAGTGTTCGCGGTCGAGTCACACCGAAGAGTGTGGAGGCAAAAGTGATAATTTCGAGGCGAAGACGCGATTTATTCACCGAGGATTCCGTCGATCCTGGGCCTTCCACGAGTGATTAACACCGTAACAGATTATGAGCACGGTGTACGAGGTACGATCCGCGTTTGCAAAATGTATAAAACGTCGCGTAAATTTCGTTTCGTCGATGAAATGTTTTAACGACGTTCAATATTTCGTTCGATAATACCGTTTTAATCGAATCAATATTCTTTCTCCCTTCCCTCCGATTCCTCTATTTTTTCTTCTCTTCTATATTTTGTTTCCCCTTCCTTCTATGCGTATCTAAACGCGTATCTACTCGCGCGACAATTTCACATCGTATATCCATTAAATACACGGGTTTTGAAATTTAATTACGAGCCGGTAATAATATTATTAACGCGGTCCCAAGATAAAATCGGTCGGTTTTTCGTCCAACCCTCGTGGCTCGATGATTCACGGCCTATCGATTCGGCCAAGCGATGTTCGCCACGAGCGAACACGATGCGATCGTTATATTATATTGTGAGGAATTTCGAAATATGTCGTGACACGATTTCTTCGTCGCGTTAAACTCGTAGCTGAGATCGAGAAACAAATTAGTGATCGTTACGTAATCCAGTCGTCTGGGACTATAAGGGAATTTTACGTAAGTATGATTCGAGACGATTAAAGATAATGCGAGATCTTCGATCTTCTCGTGTTTCCCGTCGTTTGTCATAACGTCGTAAATCGATTCGCAAAGAGAATTACTGCGGATTGAACGGATTTGCTCGCTCGATTCGTTTCGCAAGTTTCGAACGAGCAGCAACTTCTCGCTTCTCTCGGAAAACGATCGATCTTCGAAAACATATTACTCGTCACGATCTTGAGACGATTGCGTATCACGAACCGAGAATAGCGATAATGTTGTTCGAATGGGATTGGTGTATGATTACACGTTAATGCAAGAATGTAGAAGCAAATAATATTTTTTTTTGGGGAGAGAGATGCAATTTGATGATGACGTCAATAATGTTATCTAAATCGCGAATGGAGATCGCAAACAATCAAATTTGATTGTTCGCCTTTTATCGCGCCACGCGTGATTTTTTGATGGAATTCTATTTTTCGACTAATTGAGAACCGTTGTAGCGTGTTTTCGAGTACATATTTTTCGCGATAAGCCCGTATAGCACTGTTTCACATTCCCCATTCATCGGTTTCAGCCCGCGGAAGATTGTTCGATCAACCGTGAACGTGAACTCGTAGAATAAACATGGTTATTTGTTAGTGAATAAGTGAAAAACGAATTACGTAATTACGCGTAACCTCGTGGAAATTTTATCGCCAATTCTAACTTCCGATTGGCCGATTACCAATCTTCTTTAATCTCACAATATGGCTTACATTTTCCTCTAATAATCCACTAATTATATACCTTTTCTACAAAAGATTAGATTATATCCGTTCGCGAATCTTTCTTCTTCACCTACCTCAAAACCGTCTACTTATCAGATGTCTACTTACATAACGAGTCAAAAGCATTGTCATTTTTCAAACGACAAATCGTAAAATAGCAGTGTCGATCGGTATCACGATACGAGAATCCCCACTCCCATATCGATCTATTTTTATACATATGTTTCCGATCGAATTAACGATTCCGAGTCGAAAAATTTTCCATTATTGAATTTTCCGTTATTATTAAACCGCTCGAATTTCTTTTTCCGTTCTTTCTTTCATCTTTTTTTGATCGTCGTGGGACAACGGTTTCTTCTCGACTCGATGGAACTTCGAATATGGAGGCACGCGTACAAAGAAGAGAATTCAAAGTTCTTTGTCGTAACTACGTAAGCGTTTCAGTGTATACAGTTCCGTGGGAGAACCTGACACTTACGATGGCATGCACACCGGCGGCGAGCAGACTATAGGCAACGCACACACAGGCAAGCACGCAACATGGCAACCGTGGCAGGACGTAGACGATGGTTATACGTAGAAGTTCCAGTGGCAGGGGGTCAGTGTAAAACGGCCTTCTGTCCGCAACGTGTCGAACGTCGTTCCTATAAGCTCCGTCTGTTCACCGTGGTGTCACTCTTGTTCGTTTACAAACACGTTTCGCAAATCGAAACGGGTGAGATCGTTTCGTCGTTAGGTAACACGGACAGTGTGTCGATCGTCGAAACTTCGTCGTGGCCATAGTCGATAAAACACGCTGACTCGCGTTGTACGAGGATAAAAGGTAAATCGATGGGACTGCTAGAAGCGAAATCGCGATTTCCATGAACGAGGACACGCACGACATGCCAACGTTCTTCCGCGTACTTCCTGTATGTTACTCCGCAGGACGTGATGCTTCCCTTGTTTCGAAATGGCTATCGATGTATTTTTCCTGGTAACGAATTTTACGCGATTTTCATTGGTATTGAGCTTCTGTTTTAAAGAATATCCATCTTTTAAAGAATAAATCGAAGCTTCGTTCGATTGAACGTTCATATTTTTCGTATTATTTCGTAGAACATTTTCTCTTTTATTTTTTTCGTCACGTTAAATCGAGATTTCTCGTTTGAAAACGGAATACACGCTACTCGATGCTCGTTTCCTTGGGATACCGCGTTATCGTGTCTGCATGTCGTTTACTCAGATATAGTACATTCGGCATATTTACTAGCAGAGCTGCCGTGCAACGTTCAGCATCGGTGACAGAATTAGGCGATCTCTCTGGTAGCTTCCAGAAACGTACTCGTCGCGTCGAGGACGTCTGCTTCCCACTGCTACAACACTCTCAAAACTCACGAATGCGTACGAAAGAACTCTGTCGCATTAAAAATCAACATTCTTCACGAACTAAATTTTTACAGGACAAATATTGCCTCTCGCAAAATCTCTATTGGCAAAACTTTTGATTTCGTGATGGATTTTCTTTTTTCTTTTTTTTTTTTTTTCCCTAAGAACGATATATTCAAGCATACAGTATCATTGTTGGCTTGTTACCATTCTCGCAACGACGTATACGAGACCTCGTGTTTACGTTTTCACTCGTGTATTAGCTGTTTTCATGGAATTTAAATTTTGGCCAGTGCTCGGAACCAGTTAGTTACTCCAGCCAGCATAGAACACGACCAGGTAAAATTGTTCTGTGTTGGATCCTGTCCCATACTTAATCTTGCGTCTGTGTGCGTGACCCGTTCCGTTGGATCCTCGTTTAACCTGGTCGAGGCAGGTAGCATTGGATGTTATGATTTTTTGTTATGTTTCAAGAATGCACGCGATATTTATTCTCTGCGATCGATTTTTCTAAATCCGTTTCTAACGGATACTTACTTACATTTCCTGTTTGAATTTCGCGCGTTTTGATTCGTACGCCCTCGTACGGATCGTTATTTTATTTTTCCAATTCCAAACCGTTAGTGTCACTGATCCACGGATGATAAGCGGATGATGGTTCGAGGAAAGACGAAAAATGTAAAGAAATAGACTCAACGAGATTGAATTCAAGGTGGGAAGTGTGTATTTCTGTTTACATTGGACCATGTTCTTTATTAATAAGGATAATATCGTCGAAAAGATAAATAAAAAAAATAAGGAAATAAAAGAATAAAGTTGAAAGATCGCGATGTTTTGGCAACGATCAGTGTTGTGCAATTTCAAGAGCGTGTAATCAGCAATATAGAAACCAGGTATCGACTTTCGAGACAAAAGTATCATCGATCGACTCGCGAGCACGTAGAGGCATGCGATACAAAATGCAGTGGATGTTTTTCGAATAGCGTCAGCTAAAACGAACCGTTCAGGATCGTGGAAAGCCTCGTTCCAATCGCGTTTAGAGCTGTGAACGTGTAAACATTCGCGATCCTTTACCTACCTGGGATTCGTGTACGATGCGCCCGTATCGCACATAAAATGAAATTTGTACAGGAAAGGGAGATTCGATCGAACGAAGTAAAATAAACAGAGGCGTTATACAAGAGGTTCTCCCCTTCCCGTATTATGTTATATGCGCTGTTTGTCGTTAAATCCATTCCATATGGGAATACAGTGTTCGTCGAGCGTGTTCCAAAAGCGAGATTCGAACGCGTGTGAAACGGCCTTCGCGTGGAAAATAGCCCGTCGGCGATCGTGAATCACGCGAGATAGCGAGCTCGGGAACAAGCTCTTTTCGATTGTCGAAACAGAAGGAATCACCTTCGAAGTCGAACGCGGTTTTATCTGAAAGCCCACAAATCTTACGTCAGTTTGATAGCCGGGTACAAAGGTAGCTGCACGCCAGCTTCGAAATCCATAGCTGAGGCGAGCACATACTATTATCTTAAACCCACCATATATTTTACACAAGAGTGTAGCTTTCGCGACACCGGTTACATAGCAGTTTGCCATTTCGGAAAATGGCACGATGCAGTCAGTACAAATGTTTCGAGATGTAATACCTACTTATTGCATTCGCGAAGAGAAGATTCTCGAGGATGAGCTAGCTATATAACACAAATTTCTAAAGAATCTATTTAGAGAGAAGGAGATTTCAGACCGAGTATCCGTCGCTTCAATGCTTCGACTCGCTTGAAAGCATTATCGCCTTGTCCCCACTCCGAGTCGAGACCCTTACAACCAGAGATCGCTCGTTTCAAGGCCTAGGCAGCATGACGTCAGGTCATTTACTTACTATTATAGACATCATCTGCATATTCTCAATATATATTTCTTTTTTTTTTTTTCCCAAAGAAACATTCGTTTTCCGTCCGCGAATTTGACGTACTAATCGATCCACGTATATTTCAAATTGTCGTTTCTCCGTACACAATCGCAAAATAAATCGTTCTACGGAACAAAAAAATCGTTTCTCGAACACGGTTGGAAGCCTTACGTAATCGTTCAGATAGCATGCGAAAGCACGTTATCTCGAGATTTTTCTCCGTGAGCAACGAAGGTAAACGAAGTCGATTAGCCGGGTAGAAACACGTGGACGTGATTTCATTCGTTCATTGTCATTCTCGTCGGATGAATGGCCGCATATTTTCCTCGCGGAACCCATATATCTCGTGTTGGGAGCGTCGCTTTTGCCAGTGGACGTGTGTCGCATGGAAACACCTATGTTCCACGAACTCTGTTGGCATTAGAGTTATTTCGCACGTGCATATGTCCGTTTCGTTTTGATCGACCGAAAATAAAATCATCTCGAGATGAATGGAGATACACGAGAGAAAGAAAAAAAAAGTCTCTCTCTCTCTCTCTCTCTCCGTTGCCACATATGTTCTTCACGGTCGATAGGAAAGTTCCGCTGTGTCTCATCGCACCGCGTCATGTCATTTGAATGTGAATCGCGTTCAAGGAGCTCTGTTTATGACACTCGATCGAAGATGATTAATATTCCTAAGAGTACGAATACGATTCGTGATTAATTAATTATGGCTCTCGATTAATTGCGGCTAATGTTGCGAGCAAAATTACAGCGGAACTAATGGAGTGGAGGATTTTTAAATTTTTAGTTTAAGCTTTATCTTATTTTAACTATGTTGCCATTTATCCGAGCAGCATTATTCTGAAAAATACTGCTTCCATGAAAAATATAACAACACGGTAAACAAAAGCGCGGTAAACTAAACGTTCGGTTTAGATACGCCACCAGGGACACGATATGCAAATTGAATTATGCTCGTGGCGATTTTCCATCGAAGGCTATCGTGTATTAGCAGGATCAAAATTATTTAGAGGATCCAATCAGGCCACGGTGCAATATTTTCCGCGATAATGAATTTTGTTTTTGGGTCAAATCTGATGATTCGTTCGCCGTGAAATTTATGCATATCGTGAGCGATGCATCATTTTGCTTTCTGACAAGTAATTAAACAGTCTCACCACGCGCACTTTGGTCGTGAACATTCGTTCAATTCGTTTTTAAAAACCGTGCGTCAATTTTCCGCAAAAAAAAAAAAAAAAAAAATTAAATAAAAGCCAATATTTATTTAAGAAGAATCCTAGAATTCGTGCTCGACACGTGGTTGCTTTTATTCCATGAAACATTAATTGAAAAAGTCACAAATAGACAAATGAATATTACTTGGACGTTTTTAAACTCATTCTTGAAACATTTCATATGAATTTACGTATAATTACGAAATTGACGTCAATAATTTAAATAGACCAATATTCTATTTCGAACAAAAACACATTCCTTCTTCGTTTAAAATTGAATTATCGAGAAGTTTTCAATCTTCTTTGAGAATTTTCATTCTCTAAACGAAATTAGACTCCACTTTGGGAAAAATCGCTTTCGGTCGATCGGTTTACTCGATTGCTAGACCATTGCTAAATCTCAAAGATCGATGCCTCTCCATGCGAATGTCTGACTTGTGCAGAGAGGGAAAAGGATAGATGTAACTGCGCAACGCGTACATTGCTGATCTTTTTACATTCTGTTTTTTGCACCTTAATTTTACATCCTGCACAAGTGCAGCCTTGAAAGCTGGCTGGCTCTCGCTCGTTTAGCTCGTTTCTCGGTTGTCTTATTACAGATAACGATAACGTATATCGAGTCACGGAGGTAGATAAAAATAGGAGTTGCATCCTTCGCTAATGGGGGACAGTCTTATTGCTTGTGAAAACGATAGGTGTTCCCTTTGTCGAACTTTTCGGATTTTTCGTCATGACGCGTCCTGCGTTTCAATTAATACCTAAAATATTAGCTCGGCGCGAAATTTGCGCGAAATTTGAATAATGCATCACGTAATGACAAAAAAAAAAAAGAAAATATTCCAATGGGATAAATGTCGGAATAAAATAATTACGATAGAGAGATGATAAAATAAATATAAAAAAAAAAAAAAAGAAATACGAAGCCTCGTGGGAATTTTATCGAACAGATAACAAGTGGAACAATCATTTATCCGTTTATCTAAACTCGCTATATATTTTTCCTCCTTTTTTCCAATTATAAACGTCGCGTTAATCCGTGCAAGGCAATAATGCGAGTCCTTCGAACGTGGCTCGCCTCGGCCGGAGTATTTTGTTCCAAGATGCCAGATGAAAAATGCGAACGACAGTTAACACGTTGCACGTTGGATATAGGCGGTTATAAACGCACTTTAACAACAGACCGGATATCGTGATTTTTGCCTCCAAGAATTTCGTATCGATTTAGTGACGCATCCGTGTCGTTCCATGAACCAACCGACTTATCGATTTTATTCACGATACTTATTCTACTTGTTCACGAAAAATTTTTAAGACAATTATCCAAAGATATCAAACATCCGATCATTTTCTTTATGTCGATACAAATTGCCTCGTTCCTTCATTAATCTCCGTTTTAAATCGAAAACGAAATAAATAACGCGCGATGATTAATCGCGTTTCGCGCGACCACTTGCGAATTTCGCTTAGCAATATTAACGGAATAGTTGTTGCAAAGTGATAGTTGTTGACTCGTAATCAGCAGTTCTAATATCTCGCTGCGGTTTCCGGCTCGTCGTTACTCGAGACACTGCTTGAACACGATTACCGTTGTTCGATTTCATTTCACAACGGTATCATAATAATATCCATTTACGATACCAATCTAGCCATCCGTCGTGTATCGATATCATCGTTTCGGTTGATGAACTTTAAATGCAACTCTTCATCCAACCAATTTACGCAATCTCCGAATTATCGAGCGATTGCACGCTGGACGCAGCTTCTCCAACGGTTTCTCTCGATCCTTCCTCTCGTCGCGAATTTTAGACGAATCGATCGATAAGTCTCGACCGCGTCCTAATGGTAAATGTGGAAGAGTAACCTCTATAATTTGCTCGCGTATGCATACGGAGCGCAGAAAACAAGCGGAGAGAACGATCGTCGAGCCGGTTCTTTTCTTGAAATTCGCACCGTTCCCCGCCTTCTCTCCACTTCCGATTCGATCGGATATTCCAGAATTTTTGAATTTTTGATTGTTCATCGAAGTGAAGGAACGAGTTACGTTTACGTTACATTCCGACCACTACTACTCGGTTATATACGAAAATAGAATCGGGCGTAGCGCCGATTCTGGTTCGAGTTTTACACAGCGTCAGTCCTTTTCTGCAACGCGATGTTTACAAAGCGTCAGCACGAGCGACGATGCAATGGCTGGAATCCGCTGCGGTCGCGCGAGTTTCCGGCAGAATCTTAAAATTTCGTTCGGTCGAAAGAGCGAGCCAACTTTCCGGCGAAAATCTACGTCGTGGACGAGTGTTATAACGGTGCGTCGTTTGCCTTTCGAACAAGCGTCGAAAACTTGCGAATAAATCTTTAAAAATAAATCACGCGAGTTATCCACGAGCTCTCTCTCTCTCTCTCTCTCCTTCTCGAAGCGGTCTACGATAATAAAATCGCGTTTCCTTTCGTTCGAAGACACGCGAAAGATTGGGAAATCGGGCAAATTTGTGGCCGGTTGTTGAGCAGGTTTTTTACGATTCGAGGATTGGTCTCTATTCTCTCGGAGGCGATCGATCGGCGTTGCAACGAGACCTCTGCATCGGTGTGCGTGCACCTTTAAGCACACAGCCTGGAGATACACGATCGATCGTTGCGGAGGTCGACGTACCCGCGTTAACTTCAACTTTCGCGCAATTTATTGTCCTGTTCTTTTGAGGGAACGCTCGTATCGGTTCGATCGTATCGAACTCTCGCCGTGGACTTTCTTGGAATCGTGGCAACGTCATCGGCAAAGGTCAATTAGCGGTAAAATTCATCGCGAAATGAAGCAAAAAGAGGCTGGTGGAACGAGGAGAGAAGAAAGAGAGAGAGAGAGAGAGAAGTGTACGGTTCGCTGATCACGATAATCCTTACTTGGAACTAAACTTCCACGTTGACAACTTTGCGAAGTTTTCAGTTCTCGTCTGGAAATCGATCGAGTCAGTTTTTTTTTTTCTTTCTTTCTTCCTCTTTTTTTAATATCCCATAGAGATTTAGAGGGCGGGCATGCGCCATACGTGTATATTAATTTCGATTTCTTTTATTTCTTTTGCGTCGTTATTTTTATTCTATTCTCGGCCGTTCTAAAATTTCCTAGCACAATATCAACGACGAACGTTTTGCGTCGAATGGAAATGGTGTCGCTCAAGAGAAATATGATTCCATATTTCATATTCGCGATTCGCTTTCGTTTAAACTTAAACGAAAATGTGATATTGCGTCTGTTTCTCCCACTCGACTCCCTTATTCAACCGAGCGAGGGATTTAAACGCGTTTTATTTTTATTTTTATTCGCCTTTAATCGCCCGTTTTTATCCTCCCGCCATTAATTTGCCGATAATAACGAGGTTACTTTTCAATCACGACGAATTCTTTTCCCGTGTTTAAAAGCCCACGTGTGTGTCGCAGTGCGACGATTTACGTTGCTTCGACCAAACTGGTCGCGTTCCACTGGTGTGCGGTGTAACCAAGCAACGTGGTGCATAATACGTCGCCGCATTTATCGTCCGCTGTCGTCGTTTCGAAACGTTTCGTTGCTCGGCCACGCGGCACGAACAGACTTGGACAGACTTTTTAGAAAAGTCTCGCGAAAGGGGATCGGTCTCTCGTCCTCGCCAACCCAATCACTTTCTCCAAAGTCAATTTCGGTAGAGAGAGAGAGAGAGAGAGAGAGAGAGAGAGAGAGAGAGAGAGAGAGAGAGAGAGAGAGAGAG